ATAACTAAAATTTCTCAATCAAGAATGCTGCCAATATCCAGTTGATTATATTTCCTTTCTATAAAACATGTGACGATCACAACAGGAAAGGATTTGCATACCTCCACCAAGGGGGGATATGTTATCTATGACACTGATAAACAAAAATCACATGAAAAGCAATCAAATACAATTTATGATTTAGTCTATGTAATAAAAATTATCTTTTTTGATGAAACTGTATCTCTTGATCTGAAAAGAGTCGCAATTTGCATCAATATTATCTTTTCGGCCGTGTTGAGACGTTCCAGTCTATTAAGCACTAATATATTGAGAGAGCAATATATAGAGCATAAATAAAAACAAAATATGGAAATCTATTATTTTTAAAAACTTTTGGAAAACAACAAACACATCACAGCTCTGTAAACATAATTATATTATTGAATTCTTATTCATGATTTAGAAATATCATTGCAATGTAAAAATGCTACCAGAAACCGCACACAACTATCAGTATACCACCCAATAGTTTATAGTTCACATCTGTCATAACTGCCCTCGTGTGGTTAGTCAGGTGCACAACAGTGCAAATATGACGAAATGACTACCAAACGAAATACGAGTAATAAAATACAGTAATCTAAACTCAACACTAACACTTAATATTGAAATAATTATCTAGAATTCAGTAAAAAATGGCGCGATTTGGGCGTTTAACGAAGCACGACCAGTACATGGGGTGGTTCCGATTCATAGCTTATCTGTCTCGTACATTGTTGTAAACAAGTGGAAAGAAAATGTACAATTGTTAACTTACCGCGAATAATCCATTTTGGAGTCCAAATGGTATAGGAGTAAGACGTGTTAAGGCAATGACTTTGTAACCTCGATTGCCCTCAACGACACGTAAAACAGCTTTGAAATTCTCCGACTCCAATGTAGAACTAACCCAGTCTTTCATATATCGCCGGCAAACAATAAAAGATATTGAAACTCCACAACTTGCAGATAAAAATACAACGGCTAAGCCATAAACAAACCCGTATAGATAACCGCCTGCCACATTGAGAACGATGTAACCCCAAGTCATCGGGAATGACACAAGCGTGAACATTACAACAAAGAGCAGTACACCYTGCCATTCTTGTAGGTTCTCTATCCATCCTAACAAGTCTCTTAAATAATGTCTACATACATAGGCTAAACATAAA